GGCTTCACATTATGAGCTAAAAACTAAAATATAGTTTTGTCAAATGCACAATTGTCTGAAGATGGATGTCCTTGACGAATTACGTTTATTCCGTGAAAAGAGACAGAGCAATTCCACATTTTATACGCGACAATTGACCCCGTTTCAGATTCAAATCTGAATATGAATCTGAATTTGAATCTGAAACTGGAATCTGAAACTGTTGGATCCATCCCTGTATGTATGCATGGCATCAAGTTCGATTCCTGCCAGTGGTCCTATAGTCGCATTTTTCGTAACTAGTCCAGGTTACGTCTAAAAAAGTATAAATTTTACATTCAAATTCTAGTTCTATCCAGAATTTTTGCAATGATAGATCAAAGTGGAAATTGTTACTTTTCGGTTGCTTAGGGTCTACAATTCGTATGAAAATTTTTCTGTAAAAACTGAAACAGTGATATATTTATCTCTGTGTCAAGTGCCATTTTAATGTTTTGAAAGAAACTTTGTAGTAATTGTAATGAAGGGCAAAATTGGATGAGTTGTACAGTCATAATTCATTAATACACTCACATATGTACACTACATGCATACGTCACGTCGTTGATTTTGGCCCGTTCTAAGCCCTAACTTTCCATGGGGGTCCACTCTCCTCCGCAGAGCCTTACGAATTTTTAGTAAAATTGCGTAATATTAAGGGGGGGGGGGATATCCCTACAAACCTATATAATTCAGATTCTGTGGAGGAGAGTGATGGGGGTCGTGAGCTAGACCGCTGCACCTCCCCTAAATTTTTTTCCACCTCCCCCACTATTTCCACCAAAATCCGGCCTTGTTTCATGCTCGTTTGTAAATGCGGATTTGACTCTATAAACACCTTCACTTTTTGATTATGATTGATTACGATTTTGATTATTCATCCCACTCCCCAACGGGGCTTTTTACTGACCGATTACATCAAGTATTACGCTTACTTATATTACCTACTAAGCTTAGATTATTTATTTTCACAACAATAGACCTTTTGAGTGAAATTTTGATCTAAACAAGTCTGGACAAACATTTCATCACAGCGTGAAAGAGCATCACAAAATTAGTAATATTCCAAAGTTTCGTTGCGAAATGTTGTAAAATGCGGATAATATAGCCTTGCGAAATTTGCCGTTTTTCAGTCATTTTGTATTACGTCCGGGAAATTGATAATCAGATGGTCAAACTGATTATCAATTTCCCATTTGTAATACAAAATGACTGAAAATTGCAAACTTCGCAAGGCTATATTATCCACATTTTAAAACATTTCGTAACGAAACTTCGGAATATTACTCATTTTGTAATGCTCTTTCCATGCATATAAACAATATTTAATTAAAAAAAAAAGAAATGGCAATTTTTCCGAAAACCGTAGGGAAAGCTAGGCCTGACATTAATAAATACGTAGTTTGCATTGAAATTAATAAATATAGAGTGGTAACGAAACGTATGAGAATAAGAATAAAATAAATTTTGACACACAAATAGCCATGCACCTGCAGAATTAACAGCGTCTTCTATCTTACAAGATGAACATTACCGCAAGTCATGGCTGAAAAGTGTTCTTGATTTTAACAAAAGCGTTTAGTGTTCACAATAAAGTTCTGAACGATTAGGAAAAGATTAGCATTTGTATGTTGCGAAACGTCGGGATGACCGTTCAAAAACCATGACAAACGCATTTTGCTTGTTGAATTTAACCATTTGGAACCAAGTAAATGTGCAGCGGAAGCAAGCTGCGATGAAATTCTTGTCCAGGCATATCTAGATCAAAATTTCACTCATAATGGGAAAGGTCTATTGTGATTACTTTCTTAACTATGTTTATCCTAACCCACCCTGACAACTTTCCCTGTGGGATGAAACCGGAGTTCCCAGAGAAAACCTACGACTTTCGGCAGAGCGTTGACAGACTCGGGGACGCCAGAACGATGTGAAGGCAAGGGGGGCAGATTTTCGTGAAAGGGCACTTTTGAATTGATATATACTAAGAGATGTTTCCAAAACATCGGGAGTTGAACTTCGCCTAATCATGTTTTCTATTTATTGGATGATAGGGGTGTGAGGGGGTTCTCCGCCATGCGCTTGCGCTATTCTTGAAGCTCGATGACTGCATTTCTTGCGTTTTCTGAAGCAAATTCGTAAAGGAATTGCACTAACATTTCTGACAATTCGCTATTTCGCCAAGGCAATCCTTTAAATTGAAAGGGCACCTTTGCCCCCCTTGCCCCTCCTGGTAAAGGGCAACGGGGGCGGCTGCCCCTCCTGCCCCCCAGTTCCGGCGTCCCTGGACAGACTCCTTTCACATGAGTCCATACAGCGAGTCTCGAACTCACAATCTCAGAGGTTTTCGGTGCTCGCTCTGACTGGGTGAGCCCAAGTAGCAAAGCGCCATGATGCACCCTACTAAACTCTTAGAGCCAGACAAAGGCAAACGGCAGGTTCGAACTTTCTTGGCAAAATTTTCGTTGAACGTTTTCGTTTCATATTTTCATTCTTGCGTCGAAAAAATAATTATGTATTTCAGTTTTAAAACAGCAAGTTCATTTACTCTTTATTGCCTGATACCGTAAAATTTTTCTTTGCCTGGCGTTTGCCGTTTGAGTATAACGCAAAGCTTAAACTCTCTAATAATTCATGAAGAAAACAAATAAGAAATCAAGGGCGTGCAGGAGTTTGTATATCTGATACAGAATCATGCTGTTTTACATAAACTTTAAGTTTAAGGTTACAGTACACCCTTTTTGGCGTTTTGTGGAAAATCGCTACTGCGCGCTCAAAATCAGTCCGATTTTCATCAAATTTTTACCAAACGTTAGCCAGTGCATGCAAAATATGATAAAGTTGTTGATAAACAATAAAATTATATAAGAATTTTTTTCTGTGTTGGTGCTGTGTACTCAGGTGAATAATATGTTTGTGATGTTACTCTGAGTGCATATCCCACCGTGGCCGGGCATATTTTTCAAGCTCGCCCGGTGTGGATATGCACTCAGAGTAATATCACAAACATATTATTCACCTTAGTACACAACACCAGCACAGAAAAAATTCATATTACAAGAACACATTGGTATTGAAGGAACTAGATACTGTTCCGAAATATCACTTACTCGAACCGTCCTGACCGCGCAGCTCAGTTGGAAGAGCATTGGGCTAGTATTCCAAAGGTCGTAGGTTCGAATCCCACCGTGGCCGGGCATATTTTTCAAGCTCGCCCGGTGTGGATATGCACTCAGAGTAACATCACAAACATATTATTCACCTGAATACACAACACCAGCACAGAAAAAATTCATAATACAGAAATTTAAACAAGGATTAACATTTTGTACACGCGATAGTCATATCGCACGCAAAAACACAGATTAGTGTTTTAAACAATCTAATTCACACACAAACTAATACACAAATTTATGCTTTAAACAATTTATTTCTCAAAACAACAGCCGTACATCAATAAATAATGTATAAGAGCTACACAATATATTAAACGTTTACACATAAAAGTATCTCACGCACAATGTCCTAAGTAATTTAGAGATCATTAATCCAATACGAAAGATAATTCAAAATGCTCTGGTATAATTAGAAAAGCTTGAATCCCTCCTCAAGTTCATCAAGAAATCAAGAGTCGCTTCGTGATCTTTCCCAAATGTTCCGCTGCGTGCTGATGGTACTCTATCCTCATCACACGAATAGCCTCAAGAAACTCCTTCCAAAGTACTCCCTGTTCAATCACTCGTTCTACAACCTCCAAACCATACATTAGCTGACTGTCCTCTTCTGATAACATAATGTATTCGTGTCTCCTTTGACTTGGATGATTAACTTCACAACCGCGACACTTTTCTTTGCAAAGTCTCTTAATCTCGTAGGCAACAGCTTCTGTAAAGATCGTATCCATCAAATGACATAGATTTTTCACATCTGACGACGCGACCTCGTCAACATTTAAATTGCTGGCCCAAAGCACCTGTTCCTTCGGGTCGAGAAAAACTCATAACTAAAGCCCTCTTTATAAAAACAGCAGTTGATTCGATTCACCCGAATTATACTCTGTAATAAACTGTACAAGCAACATTCAGCAAAATACTAACACACGCAATACGTAATGCACGCACGATAATGCGTACGTACGTCTCTGTTCGTACTAAACAGTACGTACGGCTCTGTTCGTACAAATTGTTCCTACAAAACTGTTCGTACAAGGAAAACCATCGTAAAACATTTTTGAAATATTTGAAGAATAAACTTTCAGATGAACAATCTTATAAAGATAAATTAAGGACCGGTCATAAAGTAACTGCTAGGGTGGGCCGGAGTGATTTGGGATGGGCCATGGAAAATGTTTGTGCAGTTTCGATGGGCCGCCAATTCTTTTGTATGTCTACCTTCATCCAGGGGCGTAGGAAGCCAGAGGGCCTCAGCGCCAACTATGGTGGCGCCTTGTGGGAGTCCCCCCCCCCTAACTTTTACAAGCTTCCCTGCTTTCATCACTTATTGTGATAAATATTAAAATCAAACATAATACAAATCTAACATGGCTGTACACTGCACAGAGGGCAGCAGGGACAATTGTCCCCCCCCCCCCACGCCTTAAAGTTTAACTAATTTATAATGTGATTATGCTTGTAACGGATAATTATGCAGTCAGGAAATAAAAATTTCATGCAAACAATATTCAAAGTGTCTATACAGTCGGCTATTTAGTAAACTGTCACTTGTCAATCCATACTCATCGAATTTTCAAAACTTTATTGTGATCATATGAAGCAAAAGTTCTGTCATTTGTTGTTCACACTTGCCAATGTTAACTGTTGAGTAACATACAACCTATTCGAGGAACATGCATTACTGTAGCAAAGAGTCAATCATATATCGAAGACCATGCTCTGAATAGTAGAGAATGTTTTGAAGGTCATGAGTGAAGTATATAATTCAATTCCAACCCTGTGCACAGTTAATGATATACCACACTGTTCGGTTTAACTCAGCATCTCCACACAAAAAAAATTTGTGTTGTGGGAGAATATCTGTTTGAGTAGAAGGTATCACAAGTTTAGTTTTGTACATTGTGTGCCATTGATCTGATCCATCCATATAATATATGATTATTGTAGCTGTTAAGTTATTTTCCATACTGATGAATTTTGCTAAGATTGTCTTGCAAGTGGGTTGTTCTGACAAAATTATCCAGCCAATATCCAGTAGATCAGTAGGCCTACATGTATTCATCATTCTTGTATTAATCTCTAAACAAAAACATTTATATTAGAAAGCAAAATGACAATGTAATGAGGGAGGGTGGAGATTCTTTTATTAGCATTTGAAAATGGTTGTAACAATTTTGTTTAATTAACTCTATTGTGTAAAGCCAAAATGTATAAGTATAATTTTAACTGATGACATATTTACCTTTGCTCCAACACTACTTTTGATGACAACTTAGTTGGGCGTTTGAACAAAGTTACAGAAATACAGGACCAGGATTTAATTCAATATCTCCTGAGAACATTAGTTTCTTGTGATATTGTTAATTGGCAATATAATGCCTGCAGCCAGAGTTTTGACTGTTTAAAGTATTTATACACAATTATTGTCTTTATACTGTATAAATGTATATAATAAAATATGTGGTATTTGGCTACTTACCAAATAAGGATAAGTTTCCATGTTGATAGAAAACTTTGGAATAATATCACAAGTAGAATGGTGAAAACAAGACAGCCAATTCAAGATATAATCAAGATATTTTGAAGTCAAAATATGGCAAAGAATAACACGAGTACATGAGTTACATGAGGCCAAACTACGCCCGTTCGCAGGTTAGGTGCGAGCACGATGTAAACAACTGATGTAAGCTAATCGCTGATTGGCTTAATTATATAAGCTCGTCGCTGAATGGCTATGGGTAACGTTAATACTAATCTGCTTCGCAGATACAAAAATAAAGATATACACCAGCACTGTATTAATATATGTTCATACCTGCACGTTTTTTCATTATAAAAGTGTATTTTTCCAATTTAGATTGGGTGGGTGGGTCATGAAATAAATTTGGTAAGACTGGATGGGCTTTGAAATTTTTATCTACATCCTAAGATGGGTCACCAAACTTATTGGCAAAATTTGTGATTTACCTCCAGCCCACCCTAGCAGTTACTTTACGACCAATCCCTTAGTTAAGTTGGCTTTCTCAGTTAGAACATTTAATATTATGTGTAACTTGAGTAAAATAAAACAAACTGTCGTTCATTATTTTCTCGCGAACTCAAAGTGTACCTCAAGGAACACATCATGCGTAGCTGCGCTCGCACGCTATGCATATTATTATTATTCATGCGTAGCTGCCTCTGCTGAACACGTCATGAAGCTAAGTACGAAGTCTCGGACGCACACTAAGTACGAACGCTTGGACGTACACCCCTGTTGACGTCATACATACATTCGCTTGAATACTAATTACTTCCGTCGGTGGATGGAGTGGTTACCTACTGGGACTAGCTAACAGTCGTGGGTAGAATGTCGTGGGTAAAAAGTCGTGGGTCCTGAGAAAAAAGTCGTGGGTCCCGAATAAAAAGTCGTGGGTCACGAAAAAATGTCGTGGGTTCCAAGCAAAATGTTTCCGCATATTTACCTTTTTCCTTTTGGAATGAGTGTTTTTTTCTGAGGCTTTCCCAAATGCACGTAGAGAACATTAAGGATTTAAGTAAGGGTAGTTGATATCGACAGATCGGTTTATAAATAACCATGCAAATGTGGATGAAACAGTTCAACTTCACACCCCATAAAGCAGTCTCAAATATTTGGACGTTATACTATCTTATAGACAGCTAAATTAATTATTAGGAATATGGCCTAGGGCCACATGTACGAAAGCTGAATAGTGCAATCCACTAGATAGTCAATTTTTTATAATCGGCATAGGCCCTGTTTACACTATACCGGATTCGCTGGTCACGACATCTTCTTTTGCCGTTACGGAGCAATGGTTAATAGTAGCAAATGCTTATTAGTTTGACAGAATTGGCATGTTTATTTTGGTCTCTGAGATTAAAAATCTTCACAGCCTTTCGATACCTACAAAATTTGACCCACTCCGATAGCAATCCGGTATAGTGTAAACGGGGCCATAATATGCTTTCAGAGCTATGGAACTGCGAAGTATAGTTACCCATTTAATGAAATAATATGAAGACCATATATATGTCAAATGCTATCTCATGTAGTACGGTCATTTAATACTGTAGGCTCTACTCTGTAAGTTACAAATTGAAGAAGATCGCCGGTCTGCAAAACAGTGATGCAGCGATATCCATATCGGTAATTCTGTTGCTGATAATATCGACATCGTCGTGAACATTACAAGAAAATATATCTCTAAACCGACCGATGTTGCTGTTATTTACCTGCTGAAGTCTCTCCTAAAGGATTTATAAGAATCGGGGATTTCCATTGTCTGTGATCATTGGTGTGTAAAATGCTTTGTCTGTCGGAAAAGAATACAATAGATCGCCGATGAATTACGACCAGTGTGAACCAGGCTTAAATACTGAGATGTGGAATTGTAACGAAAAAGAGAGATCTTTTGATTTCTGAAATATCACAAACTAACGCTTTGACTTATCAGTTAGTTTCAGTAGGCTTTTGTCGGATTATTTTACCGTAGGTTTGATAACAGGGAGGTATATACTTCTACATATTTCTTGAGCATCAGTCAATGGCAAGTTGGAATTTGAAAATTTCAAAGCGCTTTTACAGTAATAACAGTCCGAGTAGCATTGTTTACATGCAAGGTTTGTTCCGTTTGTAATGTTACAAATACTGTATGTGACTGTATATTTGGCTTCACTGTAATATGTTGATCGATGTTATTACAGTAATACGCG